AGTTAACCTAACAGCCATGTTTCTGGAGTGTGGGAGGAAGCCGGAGTACCCGGAGAGAACCCACGCATGCTCAGGGAGAACATGTTAACTACCTGAAGAAAGACCCCGGACCGGATATCCACCCAAAACCTTCTTGCTACAAGACAGCACCACTAAACTGCCCATATTAATAACATTTTATCTGATGTTATTTAATCGAAAATGTATTAGTTTTTATAATTTAATGATATGTAGATTAGAAAACTAAATGTTACATCTACTTTATTTCATGGTACCGGTACATGTATTTCTTTTATTAATTACAATATATATATATTTATTAGATATTTGACCCTCCATATGCAGTATTATCAGCTTATTTTGGCTTGCATAGCAATGTTCATGCATTTTAAGACAAAACAATGTTAGCTTTTGTAGAAATGTCTGCTGAAATGTTCTTTAACTAGTTAACATGTAGTTAACATGTAGAGCTGAAGTACGGCATATTATAGGACCGTAGTACATTTGCAAAAGTTGGAATGAAAATGTTACGACTGATGATTATCGAATTCTCTGTAAATGTCAACAGATGCATGTTCCTGATAGACTGGACTCACCTCCTCGACCAGAGCCAGCATACGCCGAGTACTCTCCAGGGACTGCAAACACACAAAGAACAAATTAGCTGAGAGCCCAAAAAGCAGACAGAGATGCACATTCCAGGATCTGCAATGAATATCTTAAGGACATCTCAAAGACTTTTCTTGGAAAAAGATAAATTCCTAAGACTCTTTGGTAATAAGCTGGAGAAGAGAAAAATAAATGATGTGGACAGATCTCCTGATATAATTAAGATGGGTTATTCACCATCTTTTGTTCCACAGGTTTATTGAGTGATTTCTACCTTTCTTTAGCTAATCCTCCAGGATCTTTTCCAAAGTAAATCATTTCTTCAGCTATAATTCCTTGCATTTCTAAGCCCTGATACCTCTTTTCCCTCAGAATTTCTCATCTAGCGTATCCTCCTCTGCCTCTCTAACTTTTAAACCATTTTCTCCATCTATGGCCGCCTCTCGCTCGGCTCTGCATTATCTCCTCATAAATGTTTAATACGTCCATCTAAGTCAACCTATTATTCTGATGCACTGAAATATCTTTTCTTCCTGAAATCCTCTCAACTCATTAAAGAGGCCAAAGTTCTTTCTTATCCCACCTACAAGGATTTACATTCCTGACGGAAAAAAAGAGCCTTTGAGGAGCAGCTGCTGAAACAAGGAGTCGTTGAATTATTAGAGCGACTGTTTCTGAAAGCCTCTGAGCTTTTGCTGAACATTTGTGTGTCCTTATAAGAACGGGACATTTTAAAATGTCAAATTATAACTGGCATGTCACAAAGCACTGCTCTTTTCAGAGGAGACCACATTTAGACTTGTCTGCTGCCTCAGGGAGGGAATTTTGCTCCATTGTTGTTCCAAGAACACATTTTGCAGATTGAATTAAAAAAGAAACACCTTTTTTTAAATGGTAATTTGGACCAAAAAAAAGAAACATATTCCAGAAAAGATCTTCTAAGAAAGAAATTCTTTGTGGTTTTTAAGACATTTGACTTTTTCCACATTAATTGTCTTTAATTCATTTTTTTGCTGAATTCGTATTTTCAAATTTCTTTTCTTTCTAATTATTTCATTATTCAGATTAACTATTTCAAATGTTATTATTTAAAATTTCATTTTTTTCAGATTGAGTCTGAAGATGCATTTATTAGTCTGCATGGAGGCTGATAATGAAATGAACACTAATTATAGCCTTCAAGTTGGTTTGTTCACCAACACCATGACGTTTCGCGCCACACCCCCTTCCTCAGACTTAAACAGCAGGGATGGCAGCCAGAGTATTTCATTGGTCAATGTGTGTAACAGAGAGATTTTTTGTGTAAGGTTTCTGTTTCTGTTATGTTTTTCTTTTGATGATCACTTTTGCTTTGCTCTTTGTTTTATAGTTTTTTATGGTTTAATTCTTACTTTGTTGTGTTCTTTGGGTTTTTCTCAGTTACTGTCTCAATCTTGGTTCTGTTATATTTTCTTTTTAGTGTTCAGTTTTGCTTTACTCCTTGTTTTCTAGTTTTAGTGGTTTTATTTTTATTTTTGCTGTATTTCATTCATAGTTACTGTTTCAGTCTTGGCTCTGTTATGTTTTTCTTTTGAGTTTTTCTGTTTTGCTTCACTACATGTTTTATATTCTTGGTGGTTTAATTATTATTTTGTTGTGTTTTCTAGTTATTTCCAGTCTTCTAGGTTTTTTTATTTGTTCCCCTCTGCTGCCCTCTTGTGTTCTCCTTTTTCCCTAGCTCTTTTCCTCTCCTGCCCTGTGCTCACCTGTTCCCAATCTGCTCATTAGTCTTCTCTTTGTCTCGGTCTCCTTTAAATGCTCTCCCTCTTCAGTTCTTGTTTGCTGGGTCCTCGTCTAACCTTGTCTGTCTTCCTCCAACTTGTCTCTCTGAGCCTTCCTCCTGGTTACAGTTCTTCCCCTGATGACTCCGTGGTTTTTTGGGTAACGTTTGACTTGTGTTTTTTTTTTTTTTCTCCTGGTTTCCTGTTAATTTAAACTTTGTTTACATTTTGGATTTTTGGATAACCTACCTCTGTTTTCAGTTCTTTAAATTAATCATTAAATTTATTTACAATTCACCTCTGCCTTCCTGCCTCTGCTTTTGGGTCCTCAACCCATAACCAAATCCTGACAGTTTGCATTGGGGTTTTGGTGAAGAGAACGGGATCTGTGAACCACTATTTGAAATTACTGCAATTTATAAAACTCAATCTGAAAATATAAAATAAATACCTTTTGATAAAATAAAAAACTACATGTCAAAAAGAAGTAAAAAAAATTTTTGATGAAGATTTTAAACTTTCATTGCTGGACTGCATTTTTATTTTTTTATTTCCATTTACAAAATTTGTTTTTTGTTTGCATTAATAATGAAACAAAATTCCCTCCATACACCCACCCTCTACTTTTAATTTTGTACATATTTAATCTACTTTATTTCTTTCACTAAGAACAGGCAGAACACCGGAAACTTCTGACAAAAACAGAAAAAAGGTGAACTAAGTGTCTAAATGTACCTCATCGGTGATCTGGTCTGCACGTGTCTGCAGGTCGGCCAGCTCATTGCGCATGTCCGCTTCGTCTGCCATTATGATTGCTGAACTTCACTTCTGTCAAAAGAAACAGGAGAGACAGAAAACCAGAAAGGTTAGCATGGCGGTCGGTCCATCCCTGCTTTTCCAGGAGCGATTGATAATTAGTTTTGTATTGATCTGCTTCTCCTTACATTATTGAGTTTCTGAATTACTATTGCCTTATTTAGTTTAATTTCATTGCTTAATTTCTTTTGGCATTTACTGTCAAGTTTCTCTGCCCTTTAGACTGTTTATTCTGTTTCAATACATTTTTTTTTTAAAGTTCCTATATCTACTTTCAAACCTAAGACATGTGATCACCAAAAAGACCAAGTGCTAAAAAGATCGATCAGATTACTAAAAGAAAGGGGTACATAGAAAGATTTTGGGGTTCAACAAGATATCTTAAAATAGCCAAGAATACCACAGATAACCCGGCAGAGAAGAAATAAAATAAAATAAAAACACATTAGGCATGTCAAATTTAAAATAGATTGTCACCTCATTCCAAAAAAAACCTTCTATTATTTTCTTGCTCCTAATTAAAAGGCCATGCTCCACGCTTTGAATATTATCAACGATAGTCATCTACTGTTTCAATAGGAGGAGGAGCCATAGTTTAGGCAAGGTGTGTTAACTCTCTATTGCATAATTCAATACAAAGACAATTCAAAAGTGCTTTACATTATTATAGCGATAAAATAAAAATAAAAGTTGTCTGGGAGGTTGATACATAGTCAGCAGTTTCTAGCTTTAGTAGCTAAAGCTGTGAGCTAACCCTGGATCTCTCTTCCTTTGGTCGGAAGATTATTACCTTAGTTTTGTTTTTATTCAGTTAGAGAAATTGATGGTGCATCCATATATTGATCTGTTCTAAGCATCTAGCCAACGCTCTGATGGGTTCATAGTCACCTGGTGACAAGGCTGTGTGTCGTGTGCATAGTTATGGTAACTAATCTGGTTGTCTGCTATAATCTAAGCATGTAGATGTTAAATAGTAAGGGCCCAAGAATGGAGCCTTCAGGAACCCCACATGTGATTTCTCTGCTCTCTGATTTAGTTGTTCCCTGCTGACACATAGAACTCCCTGTCCTTCAGGTAGGATTTATACCATTCCAGTGCTCTACCAGAAAGGCCGCCACAGTTTTCCAGATGCTCTAATAAAGTCAAGTGATCAACACTATCAAACGCTGCAATGAGGTCCAATAATACCAGCAATGTGGTTCTTTCAGAGTCTGCTGATGAAGATTCTCAGTCATCCTGGTCATAGTCATTCCGTAAAAATTTAAAAAGGTTTGAAGACGTTTCCAGATGGAACCAAACGACCCATTCATCAGTTACCATTGCATGTTTCCAAGCGATACAAGGCTTTGTCTATATAAGACTCAAACTCACTGTGGATCCAGACACTTGAATTGAGAAAGCTTCCTGGAGAGGCAGAGAAACGTCTTCAAATCTTGAAAACCAAGTCCAGTGGATATTTTTTGAATTTTTACGGAATTCTTTCAGAGTCTGATTTTATATGGATGTCATTGAACAACTCAATCAGGGCAGTTTGTGTACTTTGGCTGGAACGGAAACCTGACTGGAAGACATTAAAGCGTCATTGTTAAGAAGGTATTTAACTGTTGAAACACAACTTTTTCAATCTTTCTGATGAAGGGGCAGTTTGAGATGGGTCTGTAGTTCAAGCTTCTCTTTTTCAACCATGATTTGATAACTAGACCTTTCTTTCTGCTATCATTGTGATTTTTAGGATATATCTATCAGCCTTTGATGTATTTGAGCTTATAATCCCTGAATAAAAAGATAAGCGACAAAATGTGATGCTATATCCCAAAACCTCTGACAATCTGATGAAGAGTCGCCAGCAGAGCAACGGCTACATCCCTGCCAGCACCAAGTGAAAGACCAAGTTTACATACTTATTTAAAAAATGCCTGTTACAGTTTTACCTGGAGATATTGCTCCATATTTTTGAGTTTGTAGAAGTATATTGTACTTTATTTCTAGTTGTATTCTCGTTAAAGGTATAGTGGAGGATGTTGGGTGGGTTTTTTCATAAATACGTGAAAATCCTCCACTATACCTTAAACATAAATCCTGAAGTAAGCCTTTGACCTTTTTCTCTTAGACTTAGACAACTTTTTCTATCATTTTGTATACACAGCATGTTTAGTACAGCGTGTTTAGTACAGCCTTTCAGACAGTAAATGAACATTTTCATTCCATAAAGTGCACCAAAGATCAAATGTAAACAGTGTTAGAGAAAAAACATGGTACAAAAAACACATTGATATGGAAGTTCAGAGAATTAATATATATGGTGCAAATATGCAGTATTTCTGATTTGATGTTATCAGTGTGATGCAGAGTCTGTGACATGATTTAGAGTTTCTTCAACAGTTCAGCTGTCTGATGGCGGTGAGGAAGAAACTGTTGCAGAATCGAAATATAAAAACTTTTGCAGAAACCGAACATAAAAGATAGAAATTGAAACTGTAAAATTTGATGAATAAATAAAATATATGAAAAAACTAAATCTGAGCAAAAAAAATACTGCCAATCCATTTTTCTAAATGCCATTTCTGGATTGCGTTTTCTTTCTTGACTTACATTTAGAAAACATGTTATTTACTTGCAACAATAATGGAACAAAATTCACTCCATATGACGATGGCCTGACATTCCTAAGCTAATTACACTTGCATGTTATGTTTTGAATACTAGCGTCTATAAATAGCCAAATGCCATTGTTAGGCTCAGTGCTGAAAATACAAGCAGAAGGGCCTAATAATGAAGAAAGAGGCAAAGGAGAAGAACATTTGTCAGGAGGATGGAGTACCAGAACCACATGCATAGAGGTCAGAATGAAGCCAACACAGGCTGAGGGGATTGGGACACAAAAAGATCAGCTATGATTCCTTCCTTCCTTTCCTGTCTCACACTCTGCTTCACTCTCTACCTCTGTCTCATTCAATTAGGACTTTAACAAGGCAAATAATGTGATCTGCTTCAATCAGAGCTCATTTGTGAGTATAACACCTTTAGTTTCGACTCACACTTGAGAATTTTCGCTCCAGCGTAGCTTGATATAAATTTAACAACCCAACAGCTTGCAGCGCAGCCTCATTAAAGCTTTATGTGATTTAATCTAATGCATCATAGAGTGTATGAAAGGAACTGAAACACTGCTGCTTCAGGAACTGTATCGAGGAGTTTTTAATAGTCCAAAATTGCACAACTGAAAATAACTTGTCAAAGGTTAAAGTTTGCAGGTTTTTCATTTTAACTTTGGTTTTTGGTTCATCTCCTGAATTTATCCATCAGTAAGGAGATGTCTGAGGTGAGCTGACGAGTCACAGCTGGATGTTTGATAAAGTACCTCCTTGTTATGTCTCACCTTCTCTCCGTATGACTCTTTCCTCCTTCCCTGCGGAGTCGTCATGCCGGTTAATAATTGAACATGTGTCGGGAAGAGAGATGGAGGGAAGAGGCAGGAAAAAATGCTGCACTCAAAGTGCTTCTACCCTCTCATATGCTCTCTCTCTCTCTCTCTCTCTCTCTTCATATGTATCAGGGTGTGTTAGTTGCTGTCTATTAAGCCTGGCAAGGAAAAAATGAAATATTTATGTAGGAATTTTTGTCTTTTAGCAATTTGACTGATGCTGTTTTCCTTTAACAATGAGTCCATATACTGTCTGAAAAGCTGTACTCAACAAAATTTTGTTTTGTATACACAAATGACTTTATATGAATCTAACATCACAGTGAAAAGGTGAGTGCTGTTTTTAACTCTTGACTGTTATGTTATTTTTGTGTGACCATTTTTTTCTACAATGTTTTTGCTGTTTTAAACACCAAAATGTCTCCATTGTGGGACAATAAAGGTATTTTCTATTCTATTCTATTCTAATGTGGATAAATAGGTTTGATCTAATTCTGTTGGTTATTCTTCTTATTCTTATGTTAGCTAATTCCTGAAAGTAAGAGCAGTATGACAGCCTTTAACAAGCCAAAATGTGTGAGTTGGCCTGCTGTCTTTGAAATCTACAGCAACACTGCAAAAGGATCTAGAAATAAGTACAAATGTCTCAATTTTGCAATCTCAGTTAAATGTGACAATTTGCCAATGGAATTAGTATTTTTACTCTTAAGATAAGATAATTAGTTAATATGCACTTGTAATAAGACAATGCAATTGCTTTTTCTTATTTTAAATGTAACTTGTCTTGTTCCATTGGCAAAGTGTCTCAAGACAGAATGCACTTATTTTTAGAAAAAAAATACTTATTTAGATAAAAAAAAATTTTTTGCAGTGTACTCTATAAAGCCTCAAACTCAATGCTATTTCTGACATTTTGAATTGAAAAAGCTTCCTGGATAGGAGAAGAAACATCTTCAAACTTGGAATCAAAGTCCAGTGGATTGTTTTTGAACTTTTTTGGAACACCATAGAGAGCGTTCTGAGCAGCTGTCTCACTGTGTGGTGTGGAGGCTGCAGCGCCTCAGACTGGAAGAAAGTGAGAAGGTGAGAACAGCAGAGAGGATCATCGGGGCTCCTCTTCCCATTAAAGACATTTTATCCCAGCGCTGCCTGTCCTGAGCCTGTAAAAATATCAATGACTCCTCACCCCCCCACCATGGACTGTTCTCCCTGCTGCCCTCTGGGAAGAGGCTTCACTGCATTGGATGCAGGACCAGCAGGTTCTGCAACAGCTTTTTCCCCTCTGTCATCAGTCTGTGGAGCTGTTGATAACTTTAATCAAGTCAGAAATCGGGACTCTGCATCGCACTGTTATCATCATACTTGCACTACATGGTGAATCTTGAAAATAGAACTCAAATCTGTTTCTATCACATTTTGCATCATAACTGCTCTGAACCTTTCACATCATTGCCTTTTAGCACCATGTCTCTCATATCTTGTTTACATTTTGATCACTGATGAACTTTATAAATGGAAATGTTCATTTCACTGCTAAGCTGCTCTTACACTGTTGAAAAAGCTGTATGCATCAAAATTACGTTTTGTT